GAATTTGTGTGGGCACTCCACTGCCTCCCAACATTAATGAAAACATAACAGAGGTGTGGTTGTGTAGAAAGAAGAAAATACTCATAACTGATTGTGATCCAAAACTTGTACTTTTACAAAATTTATAAAAGCACATGATTATGAGAATATATTTCAGCATCCCTCCTAAAATACTGCTAGAGGCCCACATAAGCTTCATTTATTTCAGCTTTCTATTAGCTTCTCCTACATCTGGCTCCCTACCAATTTCTTAGTTCCTAAAGTTTGTAACTTCTAAACTCTCCATCCCATCACATCATGCAGATTAATCTAAAATAAAAAATGAAATTCTAAACATATTCCTTCCCTACTTGAAAACTCTTCTTGCCAACAGGATAACTGGCACTGATCCGCTCCTGATACCACCCCCACCTACTTCTCCAATCTCATTCTCTGTTGTTCCAGACATGCTGCTTTATTTACAGTTACTTGTAATGTTATTTCCATCCTCCCATACCTTAGCAGATGTCCTTCTCTCTAAGTGAAATGTATTTTTTTCCTCTTTTCTGGCTAATAGATTTCTACTTAAGTTTCTATTGCAACTTGCCGTTTTAAGTGTTCCCAAGAACTGGCAACAGAGTTATCAGCAACTTCTTTGCCCACTCACCTCCAGTATTGCACGTATCACCGCATATAAGGACTCATACACTCCTTGCTTCCTCTGATACATTAAAAGCCTCTTAAGGGTAGTCCTAGCCATCTCTAGATCCCAAGGACCTACCCTGAAGTGCTCATTAATTCTCAGTTGAATGAGCTACTAAAAACGGAGAAGCAAATTCAGTCACATGACGCTTATATATATGTTCTGGTACGTTCTAAGAAGTGCATCGTTAGATGATTTTGTCCTATGTAAACATCATACAGTGTGTTTACACAAATCTAGATGGTGCAGTCCATTAATTGTATGTGGCCTCATAGTGCAATCAATAGCTATATGAGGCTGCTGCCAGAGTAACAAAGCATACTGTTGTATAGTAAAGTTTTTCAGTAAGTCCTTATATGGTACATTGTACAATAATAATATATGGTTTAGTAAACTTAATAAACCAGTAACAATTACCTATCATCATTGTTGAGTATTTAGCACTAAACATAACTGCACGATTATATTTTCATACAGCTGGCAGTGCAGTAGCATCATCACAAAACAGGTACTGCGCCACAATATTTGGACTGTCATGATGTCATTTGTGATAGGATTTTTTTTTTTTTTTTTGGTACTGGGGATCGAACTTGGGACCTTGTACTTGCAAGGCAGGCAGTGGCACCACTAAGCCAAATCCCCAGCCCTGGTGATAAGAATTTTTAAGCTACTTTATAATCACAGATGCAGTCCCTAACTGACCAAAATGTCCTTCTATAACACATCAGTGTATACAAAAGGCTAATTCTGCTGCTTATTGGCATTGGTATTTGGTTACTGGTATAGCAAGCAATTTTAAACTGTATTTTAAAATATTATTTTTTATGCTATATTTATTTTATAATGTACATTTTAATTGATAACATTTTTTGAAGCTACTCTAATTTTCATTAGATCTTCTATCCAATTCTTCTAAAATTCCACACGTGTATGCCAGACTTATTTTCATGTCCAAAAGTCTACTGTATTTGAAATGTTTAGATCCTTGTACACATTTAGCTAACTATCCTTAATGATGCTTCATTAAAGTGCATTTCTCTTAAATATTTCTCAATATACATATTTCTCAGTAAGTGAGCATCTATGAGAGTTTTGGCAAGAAAAATCTTACAATGGACATTTCTGTGGCATATATTTCAAGTCCTAGCTGAAAGGAATAATAATTTTTTTTTACCATCTGGAATAAAACAGTGACAAATATTACAAGACTCAAATTATGCTAATGTGCACAAAGCCACGTTTCCAAATCACTATTGTAATTCCTATCTCCTACCTAAGATGCACTAAGAATTGTTTTTAAAAGGAAAAATTTCAAAACAATCTGATAAGTCTAAATATAATCCCCACTGAATTTGAACATATTTTATTCTTTCCTAGTTAAGCTCTCATTATCATTATCTAGTAAATGCCTGCAAGAACTTCATAACAAACAGTTTATACTTTTTCTTTCATATGATTTAGATACGTTGTTTTATTACTCATTGTTTAACTATGCCCTATGTGAAGAAGACCACACACGCAGCATAATTAGACATAAATACAGGTCAAGAATACCAAAAATGCAAACCACAGGCCATAAGAATAATACCACCAAACTCAAGTTGATCCCATTTTAGTAGCTGTGGAACCACTGGAATATGGCATAATCTATATCTCAGGTTCAGTAATAAACTCATTCTCTAGCCAATGATATGATAATAGTTATAATCTCTCCATGGACACATAAGGCTTGTTATTCTTAGCTTATTTGATGGTACAACCTCTTGTCTCACTAGCTCCTTTGTTGGGTGAGTTATACCTCAGCCAGCCTGGTTTCGTTACTTAAAAGAAAGATAATATTCTCCTTGTTGCAAAAGGCTGCATGCAATAGTTGTCTGAGACAAAGCATAGCATAGTAGAAAGCATACAAATTTTAAGGGCATATAATATAATCGTGGCACAGGATCTCTGTACTGATACTCTGATCCCTTCTATTATGCATTAAACTGTGTCTCCCTGAAAATTCTTACATTGGAGTTCTAACCCCAGTATCTGAGAATGCGAACTTACTTGGAAATACAGTCTTTGCAAAGATAATTAGTTAAGATGAAGTCATTATTGTGGGCCCTAATCCAATATAACTTGTATCCTTGTAAAAGGGGGAAATTTGGACATAGTTTCAGACAGGCTGCATTAGTCAGCTTTCCATCACTCTAACAAAAACACCTGAGGCTACTAACTAATAAGAGAAAAGGTTTGCTTTGGCTCATGGTTTTGAAGGTTTTAATGCAAGATTACTTGGCCCTATTCTTTTGGGCTTGAGGCAAAGGTGGTACACTATGGTGGAAAGCACCTAGTGGAACAAACTGCTCACATCATAAGTCAGGAAGTAGAAAGGACTGCATTGCCAGGGTCCCAAAATCCACTCACAAGTACACTACCAATATCCTAAGGACTTCCCCAAAGCACCACCTTCCCATATTCTACCCACCTCCCAAGAGTGCAACCTTAGTGATCTGGCCTTTAACATGTGGGTCTTTAGGAGACACTCACTGAAAGCACAGCACATACATGGGGAGAAGCTGTACAGAGATACACAGAAAATATGGTCATGGGCAAGCCAAGGAAAGAAGGCTGGTAAACTTCCCTCACAGCTCTGAGAAGAAAACCACATTCCAGGCATCCTCATTTAGAACTACTATTCTCCAGACCAAAATGGATGATACATTTGGGAAGCAGGAAGAAAATGTTCAAGTAAGAAAGATAACGAGGGACAGCGGAGAGAGAAAAAGAGAATAAAACGCAGAAAAATGGAAAGCAAGCTTTTGCAAACGTGTAAGGGAAGAAGAGTTGAAGGGACAGGAGAAGAATGAGAAAAAAGAGGAATCAAAATATATTATGTACAGGTACAAATTCCCTAAAATGAATGTGAGCATTATGTGTATCAAAAGTGTACCAATAAAATTAATTAAAAAAAAAACTACCATTTTCCAGAATAGTAGATAATAAGGTAATGGTGAGATAATAAATTTCTGTTGTTTAAACCCTCCCATTTGTGGTATGTCAGTTTGGCTGCCCTAGCAAGTGTTAGTATATGATTTCCCCAAATGCTAAATTCATACAGTGCTATTATAAAGATTTTAAAAATCACATAGTAAGTGCTCAAAGAGGACAAGGAGTGTTTTTATCGTATGGAACATAATATTTGAAGTATTTCCTTCCCTCATTTCCTTGAATCTTGCTTCTTTTCTCCATGCAGTCAACCCAGCAGTTATACTCTCCTCACAGCAATAGAAAAATAGGCACAGCAGGAAGCATGAGGCATAGCAGAGTACCAGTGACTGGGGTTGGGGTTTCAAGGGCCTAATGCTCTCCGAAATGGTTCTCATGAATACAGGCTTAGAAGAGATTCTGCTAAGTGTGAGCCAAGTTAAGAGCAGATATAAACCGCTCTACGTGGAAAATTGATGGTAATCAAGACAGAAACATTAGTGGCATCTAGGAGCAACAGTTCTTATTGCCCTTTCCCTTTCACACCCTACTGCCCCAACTCCCTAATAGGGATAGAATGACAAGACATTAGCAGATTCAATCAAGACACCTTCAACAGGAGATATGAAATGTCAGAAGTAAAAGATCAGATCAAAATTCAGAAACTTTGAATGGCTGGATAGTTCTAAAGCTTGGAAACTCGGAATTAGTTGGATAGTTCTAAAACTGAACAGGATGATGTCAAGGATCAAAGGAGTGCAGGAGGCCAATGATACAGCTCTGTGGCACCACACCTGCCTGGCAAGCACCAAGTCCTGAGTACAATCCCTGGTACCATAAACAAAAAGAAGAAGAAGAATAAAGAAAAAACAGTGCAGGCTACAAAAGCTTTATGAAGTTCTTGGATAGAGCTGCTTGCCCTATGCCAAGTCCTTCCTCCTGCCAAGCAAGAGGGATGGGAAGGACTGTGTTTCCATATTTAGAAAAGCGTTGGAGGAACAATTTAGAAGGAATAAATGCATTTCCTAGAGCTATAAAGACCCAATAGACTGAAGGCTGACTTCCACTCTGAAGATGTAGAGGACAAGAGGGTTAGATAATAAGCAGCTCTAGAAACTGAAATGTACCTCTAGCCCTTCCTATCCATGCAGGCAGATAGGGGCCCTGTGCAAGGGAGCCCAACTGAAATCCAAGAAGACCCTTTACAAGCATCTAAGAGGCAACAATTGAAGTGCAGACAATGGACTATCTGAAAAAGCACCTCACAATCTCTTCCAAACAGAATTTTAGTTCAGCTGTAAAGAATAAAAAACATTACATTTCACGTACACATCAACAAGAAACGTACCTGCCACATGTGGGAGGCTTGTCCAAGATGTCTAATAACCCTCTTGCAGTGTGTCTTTGTACCAGAAACTGATTAAAAGGCCTAGAAAAGAATTAGCACCATGTCATTTAGAGGCAGATTATGGTGTGGAGTGATGATGTTAAGGCTTTGAGGTCTTAGCTATTTTGGAAAATACCAATGGACTGCAATAAACTGACCATAACAGAGTAATACATTGACTATTTCAAAACCCTTAATATCTTAAAATCCCGCCTAGACAAAACCAGAGCGATCAGCAGAAAAAAAATGCACTGAATTAGACTAATTTATTTTTTTAAAATAAAATGCTCCAAATCAGAGAAGAGAGGAGAGGTGTGGGGTAGGGAGGGGAGGGGAGGGCAGAGCAGGGTGAGGAATTTTTAATTCCAAGATACAAATATAAAATATCAAATGTTTCTAATGGGAGAAAAAAATAAACAGGTAACAGAGTAAGGACATGAATGAGATAAAAATAAAACAGGAATACTCAAATATAATTGTGTATTTGTCTATCTTTCAATTTGGTCAGTTTTTGTTTCCTATATTTTGTACCTCACTCATTTCCTACATACACATTTATGATTGCTATATCATTTTAGTGGTATAACTCTTTACTAAAATAACATCCTGAATCACTGCATTACTTTGAGGACTATTACTTCTGATACTAATAAAGCAGGCCAAGGATTTTTTTTCATTCATGTTTTTCTATCCTTTTCAACTTGCTGACATTGCTATATGAATAAACTTCCCTACAGACAGCATATACATTTGAATCTTGTTATGTAATAGGCTCTTGACAATGTCTTTTAATTGTATTTAGATCATTTATATGTAATGTATTTATTGGTATGTTAGGGCTTATGTCCTTACTTTTATTTATTTTTTCCCTCTATTTTTCATTTCTCTGCTTGCTTTCTCCAATCCTTTTTAGAACTCAATTTTCACATATCAGTGTTTCTGAGTGTCACTTTGTATAGCATTTTTAGTCACTGTATGTATATAACATTACATGTGCACAAATTATAACAGTCTGCTGCTGAAATCATTTACCAGCCTAAGTGAATTTTATCATGACTCAATATGTCATGCCCTATTGAAAATTTCTGCAAAGTGCTAAAACTGGTATTTGAAGAATTTAAACTGCACTAGTATACCCAAGTGAAATACTTCTTTGTTGTTTTCTCACCTAGAACTAGATCTCTGCAAAAAAAAAAAAACAAAAACAAAAAAAAAGACAACATAGAAATGATTTGGGATTAGTCAGGGGAAAGAAAGAAATTCTGAATCTGACTCAAAACACCAAAGCTTCTATCATTTAATTTATTGTATATGAGAACAATGATTCCAGATAATGTGTTTTCTAATTCATTAAAGTTGAACAGAAATCTGAAAAGTGTTAGAAGTCCCTAGACTTTTCCATTAATTTTATTTATCATTGCATGGACCATCAACAGTTCACAGTTCATGAAAATAGTAAGGGGGCTTAATAATTATCTCAACCAGTGCTCATTTTCATAAAAAGCATGTTTCAGGGAAGTGAAGTTCACTGTCATAAGGTTAAAGGTGAGTCGAATGACAGCTAATCTAGAACCAAGGTCACATAACAACGAACCACATCATGAGAGAGAAAAATATTAACTTTCTATCCAAAGTGTGTCAACAGTCTGCTTGGAATTTAGTTATGCTTCATTTCCTTGAGGAAGGCAAAATAAGAACATGGCAGATGGAATATCATCATTCATGTACATTGGAATTTAACCAGGACACTGGGGTTTAAACTTCCTCACTTGCCAAAAGTAGCAATATATAACAAATAAATGGCCCAAGCATCGATATTGCAAACACTAGCCCACAAGCGGTTCCAAACATGAAACTGTCAGTAAGCTTGTCCATTTCCACTGTGTATCCATGAATTTTTTCTCACCTATCCAAACCACCACAGAGTTGAAAATATGATGGACACATGCATTTATTCCACATTATACAGTTTTGCTCACTTTAGGTATAAAAACACATGTGTGTGCAAAAGAGACTGTCCTCAATTCCCAAAATATTTTCTATATTCCCTGATTCATTTTATGAAGGATCAAACTTCTTGTGTGTAGCTGAGTGACAGACTTTCCCTTTTAGTCATGAATTCTATGATCCAAACTGGAGGAAAAAATTCTTGCTCATCTTCCATCTATATTCACAGTCAGATACTATAATTAAATAATAGAGTTTCATTTACTTGGGCTCAAATCCATTAATTTTTTTTCTTACTTTTCACTCATCTCTTTTCTCTGAAACACATCCCAGTATTATTATTATCCTTGAGCACACAAATACACAGATCTGTGAATCTATAATGAGATCTTCCTATTTTTTAGAATAGATATTGATTTGATTAAATGTCTAAATTGCCTTCACTTAGATACTGCTGAAATATGAACAAATACCTGATCCCACTGGGGAAAAATTTAGCATTTAACAGCCAACCTTTCAGAGAAGTGTGCATATTGTGTTTACTCCGAGGAAACGCTTGGTTCACCAAGCTAACTTGGGTTCCTTGACTTGATGCCAGCCAACAGCTGAATGTGTTAATGCTTTGCACCAAAGACAGACTTCACATGCCCTTGTGTTCCACCCCAGTACACTGGCCATATGATAAAGCACCATTTACTATCGCTACATAGAAAGCCACATGTCTTCCTCTCACCCAAGTGAACCAAAGGGTAACAAAAGAGAAAAGAAGCAAAGATGCTGAACATTCCATAAAGATATTACCTGAACTGGAAAGAAAACCTAAGCTTTATGTCTTCCACTATGTCCAGCTCTGAACAAGACAGAACTACTGCACTCCTAGACTTTATTTTTAGGGAACAGAGGAACACTGTGGAAGTGTATTCCCACATCTAATGTTGCGCCTTCACCACATGCCTATGAAACTCCCTTGTCAATGGAGCTTTTACACCTGCCCATTCTCTTTTTCAGGATTTCTACTCCAAATCCCCAGCACACGTACAGTAGAGATCTCAGAGGCATTTCTATAGCCAATGCAAATTATAATTCTTTCTTTGCTTCATGGAGGTGGGGTGGGAAAGGGAAAGTAGTAGCTAAAACTAAAACAGCTGATGAAAAGCTCCTAACATTTTTCACTAGTTTGCTGTGCAAATCCCCTTGCTAATTTAGAAAAGTCTTTCTGGTCATTAACATTAAAAATAAACGTAGATGTACCCCTTTGCTGATGGTCATGGATTAAAGTTAAATGTTGGCCTTACCAATTTAAAAAAAGAAAATCAGTAGATGAACTGACTAAACTCCTCCAATGTAGACAAGAAACTGTTAAAAGGAAAAGGTTTATTAATCCATTTTTATTGTAAATAGGCCACATTTTATGTAGGAAGACTTGTCCCCCTCTTAGCCACAGTATCATCATGGGTCAAATGACAACTAAGACTACTAACATATAATTTAGGTAGGAGAGCAAATAATGTGCTAAAGCTTTTTATAACACAAAAGCCATTATTTCTGACTAGAAGCAAAGCTGCCAAGAATATACCATATTCTCTACCCTTAAACAAAAATGTCATTCCAAATTAACCCCTCAGCTGATATATTAAAGACTGAACAGATGAACATAGTAGAGCAATATGCCAATCTCTGGGTTAGATTGCTAAATTTTGCTTCATCTTAAAGTTCTTACTCCAAACTTTACACAGTGGCAGTATTCCAGCCTCCTCTGTGAATGAATAAGATGAAATTTCCTGATTTTAATATTAAGATAGTCTCAACTCATCTCTGACTACTGTGTCAAATTAAGTAAGTACTTTGTTGAGCAATATTCACAACATACATTGTTAGACGATGTGGAGAAAACAAAGTCATTAAAACTTCCTAATAAAGAAGCTGTGATCTAACTACTTCAAAGTCGGAAAAGTCATTAGCAGAGAAAGATTTAAAATAAGAAATGCATTCCAGAAAGTCAGAAATGGGGTGTTACAACAAAGCACAGGTTTGTATGTCAACATAAAAAAAAAATAGCACCTAAAATAAAATATAACAACACTCAAAATTACAGATATCTTAGTTTGGAAATCTGAAATTTTGGGATCAGAGAAAAGAAATGGGAAGACTTGAAGATGCCATGAAAGTGGGTGGTCTCTGCTTGGTACTCTGAGGGCAGGAAGAACTTGATGAACAGGGCCTGCTGACAGGTCCAAGCAAGAGTAGGGCAAGCTCTAAGTTTCTGAAAGAAGACAGAGATAACAAGATCCACAAACTTTCATCTCAGGAGCTCTTTGAACCAGGTCTTCAGCATCTATAAGTCAGTGGGTTCTGGTTTATTCTCTCTAGAGTGGGCCAAGTGTTTTCCTATTGAGATATCTTGAACTAGCCCAGGAAATATACCCATGAGTTTCTTTCTCACAACCACTTTCTCTGGCAATGAACGGCAAGGTTCTCAGGAACAGAAAACATCTGCTCCCATAACTCCAATGGCTTGTCCCTTCCCCTCTCATCATACACAGCCGTTAAGGGTAGGGACATTTTACATGCTGGTCTTATTAGTAGAAAGTCTACCTTATAGATTAGGACTAGCCTCAAGAAGGTTGTCTGAACTAGTAAATGTGACAGATGTTGTGAGTTGCTATGTTTCATCAGCAAATATTGCTTTGGGGTACAGACTCTAAGAGTACAATTAACAATTTCAGCCAATTTTGATATAGGCCGTATTTGCTCTACAAAATAATAGCCCCTTTATTTTTTCAATAATAACTTGTAGGGCCAGGGATTTAACTCAGTGGTTCCCCTGCCTAGTTCCAAATTCGATCCCCGGTACCAACATCATCATCATCATCATCATCACTACTTGTAAATGTTTACAGAATATAGTGTATATTATTAATACAGTACATATGACTTTTGAGGGAGCCACTGCGGCAGATAAGAGTTGGTAAGTGGTGATCAAGATGAAACAATATTTATCAAACTGAAATAATTGAAACACCAAGCTGAATTATCATGCTAAAACTATAAGTAATACAAGAAACTTTGAATAAAAGGTCATATACACACAGTAA